GTGTGTGTGTGTGTGTGTGTGTGTGTGTGTGTGTGTGTGTCTGTGTGTGTAAGTGAGAGAGAGAGACGATCTGTTTGTCCGCATCTGTGTGTTTACATCTCTCGGGTGTGTTTGTGTGTCCACCTGTGTGTCTGTCTTTTTGTGTGTGTGTGCGGGGGTGTGTGTGTGCACGTGTGTGTGTTCGCTGCCCATCTCCCCAGCTCTTATTTGGTGCTTGGTCAGGTCCATTGAGCGATGGTCGGCGTGCGAGTAATTGTTGATTTGGTTGGCCAGTCGATGACACACAGAGAGAGAGATGCACTGCGAGTCAGAAAACACACACACACACACACATCACTAAGATACACCTACACTAACACACACACACACACCTGCTGAGAAAAAGATACACCTGTAACGGACTCTCTCCTCTCAGTCTCCATCATCATCACAGTCCAGGTCAATGTGCGCTACGGCTAACTGGCTAACAATGCTAACAGCTCCTGTCTGAGCATATTAGCATAAACAGATGTCAGCTGTCCAGTTGCATTGAGTAAACACAGACATACAGAATAGTCGGTATAATAATATAGTATATAAACACGATAGTTTAGATTGTGATGAGAGTTAAAAGCAGCAGACATTAAGTTAACTGCCTGCTGGGTTTAGCTGCTCGGTCCGGTCTCTGTTTGACGCTGCCGACCAGAACAACAGAGAAGAAGAAAAAGTTTGACTCATGACGTTTCATTCTGCATTCTTATTGCTGACTTGAGCTGCGTGACACTCAGACACATGAGAGGGAGGAAGTGCTTTGAGGTGGAAAGAGGGAGTCAGGAGGAGAGGATTCCTCTGAAATCAACTCTGAAGACGATATTCTTCAAAAGTTTTGTATCTTTTCTTATGACTTAGAAGATCTTATTTCAATCACCTATAGAAGTCACAGAGAGGGAACGGAAACGAAGAGGAAAATACTGCAGAGAGTTTAACATTTCATGATTATTTAAATTAAAGAATATTCTTATAAAGTTATTTTTGCTGATCTTAACAATCAGCTTCAACTCCAATGGAGACTTTAACCGATATAGAGGTTTAGATGCAGAAATAGTTAAAAACCCACAGACTGTATAAGAAGTGGATGTAGTCATCGTGACGTCACACATCGAATTGTGGACTGATGTTATGAAGCCTCGAGTTCAGCGATTTTGCCGTCGCCATGTTGTTTTTTTGCAGCCAGTGAACAGGAAGTGTCCATATCTGGACTGAGGAGGAGTGATGAAGAGACGCCGTATACGTCTCTGTTAGAGACCTGTCAATCACTGTGTAGCCCCGCCCTAAAGCATCCCCTGCTTTATGGTCTGTTTGACCCTAAATGGACCATAATAAATGATGCAATACAGCATGATGTCCATACTAAATGAACATCATGCTGTATTGAAGAAGACTTGAAACTAGGGGGGGGGGTTCGCCCCCTGATGGTCAGTTGAGAGAATGCAGCTTTAACACATGAAGCATTGACTTCACTCTGCAGATGTTGCCGCCTGCAAAAACCCCATTAATATAAATACAGAAAGGTCATGACTCTTAGTGGCCGACATCATTAAAGCTTCTGAGCTTCACAATCCGGATTAAACAAAGAGAAGATGTTTCTCAAACATTGTGAAAGGAAAAAAAAAAGGTTTTCTGAGTTTGATTTCACAGCTGTTGCAGAATAAAACAGTTATTGGGGGGGGGGGGGGGCTTGTCGGTCCGGGCGTTGATGTCGTTTACGAGCTCGGTGATAACCCGCCTCCCTTGTACCTCCTTGGTGAGATGCCAGGCAGGAAAAATGCCATCAGTATGCCACACTCTCATCTCCACCGCCACAAAATTGATCCACTATGCCCTCTTTATCTGCTCACCGATTCACACCTATGTGTGCACGCAAAGCTGTGTCTTGACTGCCTTCGAGTGCCTGTTTGTGTGTGTGTGTGTGTTTGTGTGCGTGTGTTTGTGTTTTAAAGTGGACGCCCTCTCGCCATCTAAAAGGGATTTATGCATAGCCGGGTCCCAGAGTTTTCCCTGTTACGGTTTGATATGATAAGCTTTTTTATATGTTTAAAATCAATATGTAATCCTATGCAGGAGCTTATCCCTCTCCACACCCCCGACACACACACACACACACTTCCCATTTGTAAATCTATTTGGGCTTTGTAACACATCGGGGCGGCGCGCTACAGACCCTGATTGATTAGGTGCACTGTGGAATCCTATCACATGGGCGACTTTTGATGATGTCGCCAACTCTTTCAGGGTTGCTAGTTGACTGGAACCGCTGATAACAAGAAGCTTCGTTCCACGAGTTGTTGGAGTTTTTTGGGGGGAAATTTAGGAAAATAACGTCTTTTTTTATAATTTATTTAGCAGTGTTTGTGCTGCTTCATTCAGGGGACACAAAGAGAGAAGATAAAGTTCTTTAAGTGTCTCATAAACTAACTTGTGTCTCATTAAAGATTATAGCTGCAGCCACTATAAAATTAATCAACCGCTGTTTTTGATAATCAGTTTGTGTAATTCCTTTAGGAACAAAGGTCATAACTGTGGTTTCAGCTTCTTAACTGAATATTTGTGGTTTCTTTCCTCTGTGACAGTAAACTGAATATCGTCTCATTTTATAGACCAACGACTAATCGATTTATCGAGAAAACAGATTAATGAACAATGAAACTATTTGTTTGCTGCATTATGAAATATTTGAAGTTGTTGACTTTTAAACTTCAGTGTCCTGGGGTTAGACGGTAAAGTCGATGACATTCTATATATTTCTTATTGTCAACTAATTCCATGAAAATAGTCTTTCGGTCTCTTTGGCTCCTGAAGACGTAAATCTTTAAAGTCGTGTCTCAAGATATTTCCTAAAGCATCGGACCTCTGTGGTGCACATGTGGTGCTCTGTGAGTATTTACAGCAGCAGGCCGGTGAAAGTGGAATTAACTCAAAATGAAGGAACATTGATGCGTTTTAATAGTTTTTGGGCACTAAAGGAGCTCAGAGGAGGAAGATGATCAAGGTTTAGATGCACAGACGATACTTGTAAGTCGGAAAAATTAGATAAAAAAATATATAATCAGTCTCAATTAGATCAGATCCAGAGGAAATAGTTTTTACGTGACGTCACAGAGAATCAAATCTCCTGGTTGCTGTTAAGTTTTGAGTCTCTTCTCCTCTGGTGACACTTTCTGTCTCTTGACTCCACTTGGACGTCGGCCAAAACCAGCTTTTTGAGGCCTTTTCCCCCAAAGAACAAGAGGCGGAGAGGGCGAGAGAGAAAAGAGACGTTTTCAGTCCTAAACGTCCGGAGAACGTTTTTATGAAAATCAAATCCTCTGATGTCACGTCGTCGTACTTTGTGTGTGTGTGTGTGTGTGTGATAGAGAGACAGAGGGGGGAGAGAGAGAGGGGCTTTGGACCAGTTTGCTCTCTTGAATAAATTTAGCGTTGGAGAAACCGGGTGGAGGAGGTTTGGGGGGGGGGGGGCAGGGTGTTCATGGGGATTTGAACCGGCGCATTCTTGTGTGCCTTGTGCAGACTCACATGGTTACCGTTGGCGTGCACGGCGAGAGTTATCTGAATACGCACCCACCATGTGAGTCCTCTCTCTGTCTCTCTCTCTTGCTCGCTCTCTCTCTCTCTCTCTCTCTCTCTCTCTCTGTCTCTCTCTGATGGGGGAGGCGGGGCTTAGGTGGAGGGAGGGTCTCTGAGTGGCTGCAGGCTGTTTTGTTTGTTCCCGGGTGTCTGGTTACCCAGCCTGCCCTGCTCTGGTGTTGCCTGGTCACGTCTCTCATCGGCTCTCTTTATTGTTTACCTTCCTAATGAGGGGGGCGGGACTCTGCGACGTGTGATTGACAGCAGTGTGCTTAGCTCTCTCCCCCGTAACCCTCACCCCTCCAGCAGGACTTTGGCTTTTTGGCTGAGATGTGCTCTGAAGGAGAAGGAGGGCAGGATCAAGAAGAAAGGTTTTGTTTTAACATACCTCTGTTTTTTTACTTGTGGGCCGGCCTTGTGGAGAAAGAGAGGATTGTGGGAAAGAGTGTGGAGTTATGGCGGATATGGATTCACATTCCTGTCTCACAATCGTCTAACGATGATGACTCATCACACCTTAAACTAACCTTTAAAAGAGAAACAAAAGCACTCTTTAGATATTCAGGCTTATTAGGAGAGTCAATTTGCTTCCCTGAGAAGAAGAAAAAAAAATGAGGGAGGAAAGGAAGAGAGGAACCTAGAGAGCCAAATATTGGGTCTGTGTTCATTTCGCTCTGTGGTCGACTTCAAAGGGCCGAGCGGGGCCCAATGAAGAGAGAGCAGACCTTTCAGGACAAACACACTGGCCCCAGCGTGACACACACACACTGCTGCAATTTTACTCAATGAGGAGGGGGGGTATTTATTTTGAATAAAGCCACACTTATTTTGGGAGTGACATTTTACAACATTCCTTTTATTGTCGAATCAATCGGCGGTTAAATATTGATAGAGGGGAGAAGTTGCTCTCATAAGTTGTCTCCGCTGTGTTTGAATCCTCTCGGATGAAGTGTGTGTTATTATTATTATTATAATAAACGATTCTCACACTGAGCTGAGTAGCAGCTCCAGTTTCACACTTAAAATGATGCTACGCTACGTTTCTTTTGTGCCGCCGCTAATTCATGTGGAAGTCTTGTTTTTCTTGCTAAATAGATGCTGTGTTGTTGTTTAATGTGAACAGAAAAGAGGTAAACAAACTGACTAATTGTGATGTAGTTGTGATGTGTTTGTGTGTGGGGGGGGGGGGGGGGGGGGGGGGGGAGTGCCGCCCTGGTGTTTTGGTGAATGTGGAGCCAAGGGCGCCAGGCGGATATTTGAGCCCCAGGGGGAGTGAAGCGCTCCCCTCTGGGGAGAGGCTGAAGGGATTTGGTTCGGGGTCCCACCTGGACCCTGTGGGGCCCTGTGGGGCCTCTTCCTGCAAAGACCCCGGAGAACTGAGGGAGACGGGACTCGGGGGCGGGGGGGCTCACCTGTTTGTTTGTTTGGCTTTTCGATTTTTGTATTTATTTAGATGTTTCGGTGAGAGATGAAGAGTTTAAATCTTAAACTAAATGAAAAACAAACAAAGTTTCAATCTTAAGATGATTTTTACTGAACTTAAACCTCAGAAATGGACCCAAAAACTTTTCAAACTCACTGGGCTAAAATACAAATGAATAGAAAGAAATTATTTTTAAACAGAAAGCTAATTCATCTGTTTTTTAAATGATGATGGAGGACTCTAATACGAGCAGCATTTTCCCGTGAGAACGAGACTCCTCAAAGCAAACAATAATATCCTTAAAGCGTGTTTGCTCGAGTCAACACATCCTCACTGTGCACACACACACACACACACACACACGCAACCTGCCGGTGTGTGTTTACACGTGGTATCACACACTCGTCCACACGTGGAACTGGTCTGGTCTCCACAGTCCAGCAGGTTAATAACCAAAGTGTCCAAGCAGATTGTCAACGTTGAAGCTGTAGTCCTTCAAAGTGAAGCCACGTCCAGAAAAACAGTTTGATTAGAGGAGCTCAGGAGGAACGATTCTATTCCTGGAGGACCCGAGGTGACGATTCGTAGAAATGTTCTTTTACGTTCATCTTGAACTCATCGATCACGAGTTCCAAACAAATTCACCTCTTCATCCATGTGACAAAGTGTTTACTGTGTCTCTCGTGGTGTCGTTGCAGACTGGCAGAAGACGGAGGCCCAGAAGAGACGAGAGCAGCTGCTGCTGGATGAGCTGGTCATACTGGTCAACAAACGGGACGCGCTGGTCAGAGACCTGGACGCCCAGGAGAAACAGTAAGTTACCCACAATCCTCCGACACGGTCCGACTCTAACATCCAACGAACCCCCTGTGGGGAGTGGAGCGAGACAGCGTCTGCTGCCTATCTTTACATTTCCAGAAGGTTCCCCAGAAACCGTAGTTAAACAGTAGTTGCGTTCGTGTGGCAGAGGCACACCTGCATTAAGGCGGGATCTCTTCCAGATTGGCCAACAGGGTGCCAGGTACAGTGGCACCGACTGTGTTACCTGTGTGTGTGTGTGTGTGTGTGTGTGTGTGTGTGTGTGCGCGTGTGCACCTCCTCCTTCTCCCCGCTTTCTCCCCCATCCGACCACATCTGACCTCTTCACCTTTGCCCTCCTCAGGGCCGAGGAGGAGGACGAGCACCTGGAGAGGACGCTGGAGCAGAACAAAGGAAAGATGGCCAAGAAAGAGGAGAAGTGTGTGCTTCAATGATTGTCACTTCAGAAACACAAAAACACAACCAACAAATGTAGCCGATAAAAGAAATGTATCTCATTATTATGATGGTTATGAATATGATCTTTTCCTAAACGTTTGAATCACGATTCCGGTTGTTTTGTTTTGGTCAAATTAACCGCAGAGACCCGGCAGATTTAAGAGGCCCTGCGATGCCTTCGTACCAACTTTATACTGACTCAAACTGACCCACTCACACACAATGTTTTTTATTTTTATTATCCTGCTTTTACTTTTACGGTACGTGTCTGTAATATAAATACCTGTGAGACGAGAGCAGTGCTACAATAAACCCGTGTGATATTATTGCATGAAGTGATGCAGCACAGCCCTCTCTGTCTGAATGTGGAGACCAGTGGGTTTGAGGTACAGCACAACTGGGTTTAATGGGGGGGGGGGGTGACGTTGCAGTTAAAAGGAGAAGAAAAAAGAGTCGTTATGATATCAGTCTTTTCAAGCTACTTCGTCACTTGACTGTATCTTTTTAATTATTTAATTTCAGTGTTTTTACTTGTAAAATATCTTAAAGGGGGGGGGGGGGGGGG